GCACAAATATGTGTAGAGGCCAGAAGATAACCTTGGTTGTCTTTTCTCAGGCACTATCTACCATGTGTGTTTTTTTTTTTTCTTTTTTTTTGTCATTGTTGTTTTGGGATAGGGTCTTCTGCTGGCCTAGAACTTGCCAAGCAGACTAAACTGAATAGCCATCAAGCCCCAGGGATTCACATGTTTCTGCCTCCCTTTCCAGAATTACAAGCAACTACCACCACACCTGGCATTTTTCACTTGGGTTCTGGGGGTTTAATTCAGGGCCTCGTGTTTGCAAGGCAAGCACTTTACCCACTAAGCTATTTTTTAGGCCTGGCAAAAAGATATATTCAACTTCCTTTCCCCTCCCAAATATTAGTACAGTTTATTTCAACTTTATTTTTTCTCCATTCAGTTGAATCACTTGACTCATTCTCAGAGGAAATCTTATCATTCACTGGGCAGAATAAAAATACTCACTTTCCATTTCTAGTAATCTGAATTCTCATCAGGTTTCTCTCAGATTAATCATCAAGTGATAATCAGGGAATACAGAAAATGAGGCTTTTGAGGGATGATCAAGGGGAACAGCAAGGGGCCAGGAGGCCAGTTCACTAGGATAGCAGAGCTTAGGGTGCCAAATGTCGTACCGTGTAGGAAAAGTATTTCAGTAGGGGTGGGGCGTACCGTGTAGGAAAAGTATTTCAGTAGGGGTGGGGCTGCCATGCAGAAAGCAGTGCCTAATTTGACTGGAGAACTGTGAAGATATCATTGTGGAGTCTGAGAACTGAGTTAAATCACAGCCCCTGCCAGCCCATTCCTTTATTATGAACGTCCTGTTTCATTCCCTCTAGGCCCTGAATAAGTTAGCCGTCAAACTGTCCTTTTGAACTAGTATGAAAATCCATATGCCATACACAAAAAGCTGGGAAAGAAACCATGAGACCAAAGATCGACAGCCTTTACTGCATGCAATGAGAAAATTCTAAGCATTAGTAATTATACTTCACGGACCTTAATGATCTTTTCAAAATCTAAGACCTGTTGATTCTATGACGCACTGAGATCACTTGTGACAATGAGAGCAATAGCAAAGATTGTTGTCTAATAAACAGTATGGATCAGACCAGTTGTATGGCCTCAATCTCATCAACCACTCTCCACAGATATATCACAGCAAGCAAAAAAGTATGCTCTGAATTTCCAGAAGACTGATTTTACACTTGCCTACTGTCACTCAGGTACACTTAAGTGTTGAAATGGGGCAAGAAGAAGAGAGGTGTGAACACATCACACTGACATGTCACACTGAACAATAACTCCCTGCATGCTGTGCTCATAGGGAAGCAAGGCAGTAATGACTAGGGAAATATTACTTTACTCTCTAACACCAGCCCCCCCAACTCCAGAGTTTGTGCTTTGCACAAAACCAAACTGCCTATATATATAGTCTAAAAATATGAGAGGATCCTGGATCTGAAAAATATTGTCAGTATTCAAGTCATAAAATCTGGCTGGTTCTAAGCAAATTCTGATATAGAACAAGGCATAATTTCCAGCAATGTTCCTGTCACTAGATACATCCTGTCTGCTGCTGTTGTACACACACTAGTATTGTATACTGTAATGTGCACAGATCCTAAGCCAGTCTGGCCTTATTTAGCACCAGCTTGACTGTTGGCGATTTCTTTGTGCCCCAGTGTTTTTGTCAAACTAAGGATAATCAATGTGAAGCTGAGAATGATAATGAATGATACGTTTTGAGTATGCACTGTATATTATAACTGTATCCATGTTAAACTTCCTGAGAATGAGAATGGTGCTATGGTTATATAGGATTAATCTTTGTTCTTTTGGGGGCAAAGGGGATAGAATCTCATAATGCAGCCTGGACTGGTCTGCAAGTTGCCATCCTCCTGCCTCAGTCTTCTAGGTGCTAGGTTTACAGTTGTGCACCATCCCACCCACTAACTCTTTGTTCTTATAACATATGCTGAAATATTTAGGAGTGGACCATTATGATGTCTACACCCTCCTCTTTAATGGTTTTGTGAAGAGAGAGAGAGAGAGAGAGAGAGAGAGAGAGAGAGAGAGAGAGCTGGTGGTATTATCTTGATGAACATCAAGAATGTAAGTGTGGCGAAATGTTAACTGTTAGTATAATGGCTAATGTTTATTATCAACTGAACACAATGTACAATTAACTGGGAGCAGGGCCTTTGGGCATGGCAGTCTGCGGTTCTCTTGATAACCTTAATTGGGGTGGAAAGATCCACCCACTATGGGTGTCACCATTCCCTAGATGGAATCTCAGACTATATAAATAGAGAAAAGGCAACAGAACAGCAACACCCATTCATCTCTCTGCTTTCTGATTGCGATGTGCTGTGACCAGCTGCTTCGAGCTTTTGCTGCCTTGACTTCCCTGTCACAAAGGACTGTGAACTGAAATAAACCTTTTCCCCTTTAAGTTGACTTTTGTCAGAGTACTTTATCACAGCAACAGGAAGAAAAAAGTAAGACAGTGTATATAGGTGAAAAGAATTATAATGGTGCTTTTGTACTGATCTTCCAACTGAATTTTTATTGAATATTTTTTCTAAATAAAGAGCTAAGGTCCATGAGTAGACGATACGTGTAACTGAAATCTATCAAACTCAAAATACTCCAAGGACAAAGTTCCTCATTTTCATATGCTTAATGTCTAAACATTGCTAGACTATATATATTCATGTATTTCATAATGAGTGAATAAAAAGATATATATTTTTTTATCAGTTTGTCTCTTCCAACCATCTACTTTCCTTAACTATACTCATTTGAAATTTGCTTTCAGATGTATATTCAAGGTTGTAAATTGCTTTTAAGACTTTGCACATTAGCTCTTGTGTGTGTGTGCCTGTGTGTGTGAGAGAGAGAGAGAGAGACAGAGAGAGAGAGAGAGATAGAGAGTTTAATTACCACATTGCAGCAAAGTCAAATTTTGTAGAGGTAAGTTTACCAGAAAAACATAGGACACCATTTACATTGAATATTTGATAAATAATGAATCATTTACTTAGCATGTTTGTCACAAATATTTCAGAGGCTAGATATTCATGAGGCACACCTGTATTAAAAATTGTTATTCATTTGAAGTTCAAATTTAAGTGGGATTCCTGTATTCATAGTTGTTAAATCTAGCAAATCTAAGAAAAACCATCCATTCTCTAATATACATGGCTGATCCTGCCCTCAACTGTAAAGCCTTAGTTATGCAGATTATTGTAGAGAGGTTTACAGATCCTCTGTGTTTTCAACCATAGTGTAAATGTGTTTGTCTTTTAGCTGAATTGTTCCCTCCCCATCTTTGCACCTATATGTATTCCAAAGCGCTTACCTTTTCCTTTTAATCATAACACAGTCTGAGGTTTGCAACTTTATTTCTGATAAAACCCATACAGGTCACATATATAAAGATGAGAATTAAGTCTAATATACAGTGTTGGGTAGGTAGTGTGATAAAGGAACTGCACAATTTGTAGCATACAGTGTCATTAATGTCAGCACATCTGTCTTTAAAGCACTTCTTATACAAAGAGCATGTTTAGGCAATTAGCAATTGTGCAAAAGCATTACAAACACTGTGTATAGAGCTACAACCTCAAAGCAGTCCATCTAGTTCCAGCTCATAGATGGGGGTATTGCTTGATACAAGGCCCTGATTTACAATAACCCTTAGTGACACACCAGGGAAAATAAAAAAGAAGCCTGTTACATGCAGAAGCAATGACAGAAATCACTCTGGGACAGTAGCACCATTCCACATTATAATATGCACATTTGTTATATTGCACCTTCCTGAGTTGAACTTTGAAAATGGTAACCAGATGCAATGCCAGAATGGAGAATTCACCCCAGGAGGGGCCTTCACTGATGGTAGTAGTAATCTTGACCATCATAGCCCTCGTAGCCACGCCCCTTGTAGTAGCTGTATTCATCCTCATAGGCCCGGTAGTTGTCCCCTCGCGGCTCCCCGTTCTCGTTGTCATAAATTTCATATCCATTGTCATATTCGGTGCCTGTTTGTTCATACTCTGTGCCATACTCGACCGTGGTGGGTCTTCCGAATGGTGGGGGGGTGGTCCCGTAGGCTACTAATAGTGCAGTCATAGGCTGAAATCCGTTTGGAGAGCTGGTTGTCTTAGAGGCGCCACTCGTCTGCTGCCCATTCGCTGTGGTTCCCTCTGCACTGGCCCCAGTGACATTTTCTTCCTCACCTTCTTCCCCGTTGTCGCCCCCACTGCTTCCGTTCCCGTTGTCCACCTCGGTGCTGTTGGTGCTGGTGCCATTCACAGTTTGCTCGTTTTCATCCACTTGTGCTTCGCTTTCTTCATTTTCATTTTCTTCCTCTTCCTCCTCCTCTTCATCACTTTCCTTCTTTTTTGCAGCCTTGTTTTCTAGATCCCCAGCCTGAAATGGAAGGTTTGAAAGAATCCAAATCTAGGTGTGAAAAATTTGGAACTTGGTGTTATCACTCATCCAGCATACTATTTTGATGGATGAGCTTTGCTATAGAGTCATTTCAAATTGAGTGCAACTTAATATGAAAGAATTAGTGATGTCTTTAAAAATTAAGAATAAGTACCTTTGTAATGGATTGGGGGGGGGGTGGCATGTGCCTGAGAAGCCTTCCCTAGGGGGAGAACCTCCCTATAGGATGTAAGCTTTGCTACTCACATTCTCTGACATGTAAATCTCTCCTCTCAAGTGGAATGGTACCTCTCTGGGCCTTTCATCCACTATTCTGTGACCCTCTTCATCTACCGTTACAATGTAAATTATCAGGGTAATTAGCTGGAGAAGAAAATTTGCCTGGAGGAGATCTTCACTCCTTTGTAAACAGGTAAGTATATCTGTTCTTGTTTCTTCAATCAGTTAATGAAGAAAGCATAACTATTATGTGTATAGTGTGGAGATAGTGTTAGACGTCAGTGGAGAATTGAAAACAAGATGTTTTGAAAGAACTATTACCTTCTTGGGCAGCTGGATTGCAGCTAACCCCACATCCCCTCTTCCAGGAGTGGTCCCTTCTCCATAGACAAGGGTTGTAGCAGAGATTGTAGCATTCTCGGCCTCAGAGTCTTCATCTTCATTGTCATTGGAAGCCTCATTGTTTTCCTCTTCATTGGAAGTCTCCTGGTGAAAGCATTCAAGTAAAAATTCACTTTATCTGGAAAATAACTCAAGATTTATTGGTGTTCTGAGTCACTATTTGGAAAGGCTTTGTGTGCCTCACCTGGCTCATCACTCTGCGCATGGGCCCTTCTCATTTCTAAGAATTCAGTTCAGTTATTTAATCCTACTTATTATCATACTGTGGCATGCTTTAGTTATTTCTGCTTTCTATTATCAGTTCAACAATATTTGTGTTTTAGATGTTTGGCATACAACCATTTCTTCTGGATGAGAAATGTAGTGTATAATACTATTAGTGTATAATGCTATTGCATGAAGATGCCTAAAAATTGAGACCCTCGAATGCTTATTGTAATCTTTAATATTTTTTTCATTTATTCATATTAGATAATAGTTTAGAAATTACTCTAATCTCTCAGTGTAATTCATATCTAATATTAAAAGTATATATCTATATGTATATTTCCTTTAAATGAGAACTGGAAATCTGAATTCATTCGAAATGCATTTTGGGGAGACTGTAAAGTTAGGATAACTTTAAGACTTTGAGCATACAAGCAAAATCTGCATTTAGTCTGGTTATGAAAGTAAAATAGCTAGAGCAGATGGGTTTTTTTCACTAAATTTATAAATGCTATAGTTTCAATGAGGTGTCTTGGTACTACCAGAGTCCACTCGAAACAGTTTCTGAGCTAGATGTATTCAATACCTCATGAGTGCTGTGCTGTCCATTTTTTATTTTTTTCCAACAGATTAAATAAACCTTTTGTGGCAGTAGAAGAAATTATTAGCATTCTTGAAAAAATTCCTAGAGTAAGAGGCTATTATTTTTTGCTCCTGTACCCTCATTTCACTGATGAAAAATCTGAAGTCTAGTGAGGTAGCGACTTGGATAGAATCAAATGGATGATGATTCATTAGCAGCTGGGTCATGACTGAAGGCTCAATCTCCCAGTGTCCACATTTCCTCTTCTAAGATCCTTTCTTGTCCTAGATACTTAGCTTAAAGATGTTCTTGTGCAAGCGAGTTAAAAAGGAGAATTTGGTAGGTCTGTGGATGGATATTAGGCTTCATATATCTTATTAGGTAGAAAGTTAGTAGTATGAGGTTCACATTTATTAAATTATTAAATGTATTAAAATGAATGAAATAAAGGAGTTCTGGTGGGAATGTGAAGCAGTTAGAGCCCTTACACATTGATAGTGGGGCTTTACGTTGCTGCATTTGCTTTGGAGAACTGATGGGTTACATGTACTAAAGTTGAACATGTGCATGCTTTGACTCAGAAATTTCATTTTAAGTAAAGTAGCCTCCAAAATTCAACTTGTATATTCACTTGAAGAAGTTCGAGGATGTTCAGAACAGCACATTTTGTAGCAACGCTAACTTGGAAACTCCAAATGCTCATTATCAGATGAATAATGCATTGTAATACATTCACATGATGAAGTACGGACAGAAATACTGAACACTCAATAACTATAGTACCATGTGGATGAATGTCTCAAGTTGAGAACAGTAAAAGCCTCATCCTAAAGGATACATACTGCTTATATAAATATACATAGTATTATACATACATGCATACACACACACAGACGTGTAAGTATACAAAACCCAGCAGAAGTACCTACTTGGTAGAAAGCAAACTGGCTGTAGCCCTTACTGTGAATTGGTTAGTGGGGATGAGGCATGTGCTAGGTTTTTATGTGACTACTGATTTCACTTATTTATTCAGTTTCTGAAATTTCAATTATCGCTCCACTGATAGTCATTTTAGTATGTGTGTTTCAATTAGAAAGTTAGTGGGGCCAGGCGTGGTGACACACGCCTTTAATCCCAGCACTTGGGAGGCAGAGGCAGGCAGATCTTTGTGAGTTGAAGGCCAGCCTGGTCTATATAGTAAGTTCCAGGACAACTGGGGCTACAAGGAGACCCTGTCTCAAAAAGACAAAAAAAAAAAAAAAAAAAAAAAAAGTTAGTGGGGTTTAATATTTTAGGAGTTGGAGGGCAAAGGGGAAGTATGATGACCAAATAGTAAATGTGCCCAAGTAGTTTCCTTGTGTGAATATAGCTCCCATGTCTCCATATTTAACTGAAATTGCCAATTAAATTTTAGATAAGAAATTAAGGTGCAATTGTGTCCAGACCACTTCAGGATGGAGTTTTTTTCATCTAATCTTCTATGATTATTTTGAGTGGATTGTCTTTGGAGCATTTATTCTTTGATGTTTCAAAACCAAGCCACCAAATACTTACTGGACACCAAATATGCATGGGAATTATGCTAGGGAGCATGAGGAGATCCAAGGGAGAGCACAGAACTGTTCTTTCCTTAAACTGATATTAATATATGATCCCTGTGTCTGAAGGCATTTGAGGACAACATCTGGGAGGATCATAAATGTTCACAGATGACTGGCAACATTTTGGGTGTGCATAACTTTACCAGAACCCCAAAGGAGGCCTACCCTCTCTGTATCCACAGCCCCTACCATGGCAAATGAAGACCTTGCAGCCAAGATACACATACTCTAACTGGAATGTGTAAAAGCAATTTCACAAACTCTGTACAAAAAATAGTGGTAATAAAATGGATAAGCCTCACTTGGTTCTTCAGTAAGATTTTGTAAGATCTAGTGGGTGTATGCTTCCTAGCACTGACCTGACACTCTTGTACAGCCTTCCTTCAAACTATCAGTGTAACTGTAGCACAGGAAATGCTGCTTTAAAAAAAGAAAGCTAACTAATAATTTGTCACTTTTCAAGTTGCCACATCTTTTGCTTTCAGGATATCTGACATTTACAGATGTTCCTTTTTTGACTGTCATTTTCTATTCATAAATACCACCTAAAAATACCTGAATTTAGAAGAGCACCAAGCCAGTTGGCTAGCTATAATTGACTATCCAGGAAAACATGTCCTAACTGGTATGTTTTCTTAGGGAAGAATGTCAGTTATAAACATAGTAGCACAATTTCTAAGACATAGGAATGAATTTTAGCCATGAATTATACTAATTTTTAACTGTTTAGGAGAATATTTGTATGTCTTGAGTATTTTTATTTCTGTAAGAATATGGATTTTATTATTAGACAAAAACCTATAAAATTGCTGTTTAAAAGAGTAATCCTATTCTGTAGATAGGAAAGGAAGGTAAGCCACAGCACCACGATAGGGTTGTAAACTGTCTTTTATACACTGCCCACTAAGGAAAGTGAATGTTTAAAGTTCAGTTCTTAAGAATTACACCAAATCTAGGATTACTCCCTGCTTGCCTATTCTCATGCCCCAGCTGCCAAATGTAACTAAACAATGTTGCTTGTTAATGGGCTTTAGATGTCACTTAAGTGGAGACACTTTTGTTTCTGAGTACCACTTCTAGGTAACTCTAATCCCAAACTGCAATAGTGTTTTAAACAGGTTATTTTAGTTGCTTTTAATGTAAATAACATTCCACCTGTCCAAAATAGAAGACTGTGGGTAACCTGTAAGGTAGCAGTGCTATTTGCTGAGTCCAGATTGCAGAGAATAGCTTCCTACTTCTTGTGCTGTCTGGATTGTTATGAAAAGACAATTAAACTTCTTACCTCTTCTTCCTCCTCTTCTGAACTGTCACCATCTCCATTTTCTTCAGAAGAGTCACTACCTCCCTAAAAACCCCCAACAATATATATGTATTCAGGTATATAAATATAGATAGATAGATATGTTGTATAAATATGTACTCAACAATTAAAATTTCCTGGTTAAAATAAAATACACACATATATTTAGTTACAGTAGTTAGTGTTATCAGCTTGATTGATTTACTAACATGGAACAGGTCTCAGACTAAAGTGAGAAAGATATGCATACCTTTGGAGATATATGAAGCAAGGCAAAACACAAACAGCTGTTTTACAATGGACCATGTATGAACTAGGGTACCACTTTCAACCCCCAAACACTGACAAAGCATTGAAACACTTTCTGTATAAAAGCAATAGTAACAAATTACAAAAATATTTAATTTTGAAAGAATGAAGGAAATATTGAGTACAATCTTGCAATCCTTTAGGGAAGGAATTAGAAACACAAAATAACTATGATTTTCCCAACCAGTACAAAGCAGACTGTGGACTAAGACATAGATTGCACTGTTTTATTTTCTTTACAAAATACAAGTGATAGTAATTTAGTTTACTATAATTAAATTGTTATTTGATGATCTTCTTTAATACTGGGCTCTCAACAATATAAATTAAAATTTGACTTAAAGAAATTAAATTTGTATATTTAATCTCTATCAATCTAGTGAAAACTAATATTTAAAATTTGGTTAATTTATATATGCAAAGTAAAATTATATGACATAAACTTATCATTTACTCATTAATATTTAGAGTACATCCCTCTAAAGAACTTACTATTCAGTAAGAAAAAAATTAGGTCAAGAATTGTGTATATAAAAATGTATGTTAATGAAATTTACCAGGGTTTTTACTGGTGTTGTTTTAAATTTTTTTTTTGTAGTGCTGTGGATTAAACAAAGGGTCTTGCATATGTTAGGTAAGTTCTCTACAACTAAGGCATATATTAAGTCTAAGCTTTCTATTTTTTGAATTGAAATGTGTAACTAGATATTTGTCAGAACCTTGAAGGAAGTAGAGGAGATTCTTGATCTTTCTACCTAGAACCAAAGTAACCCAAACTGAATTTTCCTTCCCATTCTGCATCTATCCCAATGGCCCCAGGTATCAAATGTATACTCAACTTCAGATTCTGTCATTTCCTGCCCATGAATTTAGCTTTGAGTCTGATGATCAGGTAAGTATCTTGCCCTCAGGAATATGGCTTTTTAAAAGGTCCTCTAACTTCTGGGTTAGAAAGCTGGAGAAAAGACTCATCCTAGTACTATTCAGAACTGTTCCTGTTGGCCTCATTCTTCAGGTGGCCACATCACCCAACAAGGAAAGGGAAAGCTTATCCCCTTTGAGCCAAGAATATCTTTGGGAGGAAAAGAATAATTAGACCTACCCTGCACTGCTATGACCTTAATAGCTGTCCCTTTTCACACCTAGAGGGTGAATAAACAAATCATTATATCTGAACCATTTCTATTTGTTAAATATAGAGGACAGTATATTTATGCCATCAGAGCTGTCTTTCTCAGTGTGAGTGCTGTAGACATCTTTGTGTGCTTCCTTACTGCTAGCTTTCTTCCTAGCTCAACAAGCCTCATTCTTCAACTAGTGTGTATATTAGGAACCATTTTAAAGCTCCATGGAATGAGGGACTGGAGAGATGGCTCAGTAGGTAAGAGCACTGACTGCTCTTCCAGAGAACCCAGGTTCAGTTCCCAGTACACATGACAGCTAACAACCATCCCTAAATCCAGTTCCAGGGGATCTGACACCCTCTTCTGACCTCCACAGGCACTGTACAACTCAAATGCACCTTTTCCCCCTTCTTTGCCTTATTATAAATTATCACAAAGTCCTACTGATTCTTCCATAAGTCTTTCATGTGCTTATACAGACATATGAAGGATGGATGGATAAATAGAAGCCAGAGAGACAGATGTCTTAATGGAAGACAATTCTGAAACCTTAGAACATTTGTGTTCTAGATGAATCTGGTAAAAGAAATAAAGATAAGAGCTCTTGCCCTCTAAGAATAGACATGTTAATCAAATATTTTAAATATCAATGTGATTGTTTTCAATTAAAATGGCTTAGTATACTAGATAAGCTGATTGATACTTTTGTTTCTATAGCCCAGAATAGGGATGAACCATTAGGGACTTTGATGATAACATTGCAACCCATATGGTATATTTCATGAAAGTTGGTATTTTAGAAGTAATTGCACATAAACACAGATTCGTTGAATAAAAAATGAATCCCAAAGCCAATAAAACTTAATGTGTGGGGACAGGGTGACAATTTTTGACACTAAATAGATAACAATATAAGTGGGATCAGACTTTGTAGTCAACCAGGTCATAAATATTTCAAGAAGTTGTATTTGGAGATATATTTTTTTGTTTTTTTTTTAAACAAATGCTTCAAAAATTCTATATTAGTTAAGACAGGCCTGTATATACACAATTCGTGAAAAAAGTATATTGAATTATGGACCTTGGGGTTATCAATAACAAAAAACTGTAACAGCCAATTTTATTTTATTACAGGTTTTTTAGTTGGATCATACACATAGCTATAAAAAATATCAAGATGGGAATAGCTATGTCTAAGTAGTAGACATTTCATAAAAGTTGGTCAGCTAGTGAGGAACTTGCTTTATTATCATTTCTGTTTAAGAAAGAGAATACATTTCCAAGTAAGCGCTGTTTATTTCTGGGCCTGAGGTGAACCAAGGAATGGAAGACAATTACAAAAACCCACAACTCTTGTATCATTTATGCTCATATTACTGTGGCTACACAAGTTCCCCATAATTATGGTGGTGCTGGAAATATTTGAAGATTATGATTTCCTATCATTGCATGAGTTAAAGATGCATTAGCCTGACACAGAGCGAGGTGTGATGCCAAGCTACTCCACTGAGGCAGCCTTCTCCATACCCTCCTGTCTCAGTGTCTCAGGAGTCCTGGCCAAATGGTGCTCTAGATTGATGCTCTAGACCAAACTACCACAAAAAGAGTGTCACTCTGGTCTGTATACTTAAAATCAATACCACACCCTCCAGTATTCAAAGGCCCTCTTCACATAACCCAGCAAAAAATGGAAAGTCTCATTTTTAGTTTTAGTTATTTTCTCTTTCGTTTACAAATTTAGTGGGGGTTTTTCCTCACAAGTTCCCTACTGTGTTTTATGAATTTCTCTCTTTCTTCTGCAGTTCTTGGGCCAGATTCCCTTTATAGTTATGCTCCAATGTGTGACCTATAGTTCTGTCACCTTCACAGGGTAGAGGTTCAGGAAATCGGCATCAGTGACAATTACCAAGGCTGTTGCCTTAAGTCTCTGGTGTTTATGAATTCAGCTTTTCCCTCTTTTAGTAAGAGGAGCCAAAATGTCAGATAAGAAGCATCTGGATGGCAGTAGTATCATGGGTAGTGAGGTTATTCTGGTTTTATTGCCAGAAGCTCATAAAATGGTCCACTTTTATCAGGTTAGCTGAACACCTGAACTCAACACATCAGAGTACTTGTTTTCATTATGTCATTCTAAACTGGACCCAAATGCTTTCTCTCAGTGTGCAGATGTCTCTGAGTTAAAAGAAAACAAACTTTGTTTTGTTATGCTAAAGCTTCCCAGAGCAAGCAGTCTCTCTGGCTGAATCATATTGAGAACTGAATTTATGTGCTTGGATATTAAATTTGCTCCCCTTTAATCAAATTATAGTAAGTGAAATAGGAAAATTAATTTTTACACTTACCCGAACTGGAAATCGTTTTAGAGGAGGATAAAAGTAGGCATGCTTGTAAAGATAATATCGTGGCCTGTACTTGAAGACCTGAACAAATAGAATTAATGTTATATTCATATTTAAAGTACAATAAATCTAGAATAATTGTAGGCTACAGAAGTTTACTAAAGTTAATTACCCCATTTTCTTCAGAATCTTCTAATTTGAATCTTCGATGCAAATTTTTCATCTGTTTAAAAGGCCACTTAGTTATTGCATATCCTTTTTAATGTAAAAATACAAAATTACAAAGTATAATTTTGAATTTGAACTTACTGAGAGAGCACAAGCCATTCCCAAAATGCCCAGCAAAATTAAAGCAGTCTTCATTTTGCAATTACTTCTGCAATTAATGAAGGGGTCTGATTAATAAATATTAAAACACAGTACGTTACTCTTTTACTCATAAAATATCTAACTTGGTCTTATTTTTATCTAATTCTCATTTGAAGTAATTAAAACCAAACAGTGAGGATATGTAACTCTAATGTGGACGCTTGCCAAGCATGTGCAAGACCCAGGGCTTGTTGACCCCCCCTCCGGCCTCCAGCACTGAAAAAGAAATCTGCATTTATTTTCAAACTCTTCCCTCCACTTAGGTTGCAGAAGATTGTTTGAATGGTATTGAGTTCCATATTTGATTTTAGCCCATTTTGCTGTGATTTGTCATCAGAAGATCATTAGATCCCCATAGCAGCCTTTGAATACTGTGAGTACTTCATGCTGGGTGAAGAAACCTCTAAATAGGGCTGACAAGGGGAGACCAGCTATGTGGAGTGAATTGTAAGTGTAGCTCTGTGCCCTATTTGATTGTTAAGAATTAATAATCAAGCAAAATTCAAATGCACTTAAATGGTTGCCTGTATGTGATGAACTATAAGAAATTTCTAGCAGAATTCAAACTAAAAGTTCATTCTTAAAATAGGGGATAGGAGCCACTATTTCCCTAGGCATATCTTTGAATATTTTATACTTGTTTACATGCATGTAAGAGAGAGGGAAAGGCGAGAGGAATGGGAGGAAGGGAGGAAAAGAGAGGGAGGAGAGGGAAAGAGAGGGAATGAGAGGGAAAGAGAGAGAGAATACATATGAAATACTATTCTTATAGCATGGAGCTCCCAAGAGCCTTGCCTAAGGATGACTCTATGAAAGAGTTATTCAGAGTCTCATTTGGAGTTTTGGGTTCCCTCAGCTTGGGTTTGCCCCAGATTTATTTAAACTTTTCATCTGCTAGCTAGTGAGAAACTGTGATAGACTGGATCAGCGGTTGCTCAGGGGATGGGGTGATAGGCACAGAGAAAGAATCAGTGCTATGGAACAATGAAAGATGTGGCTGTCAAAGGAAGAACAGCCTTGAGCAGTCCTGATCCCCACTTCCACTTTGCTTCATCCTACATAGAAGCAGAGGGTGAAATGTTAACCCATCTTATGTTTATTTTATTTAAGGAAATTCTATCTTAAAATTCTATCATCTAAAAGTTGAACAAACTTAGCTGAGAGCCTGCTAACACCTGTTCACGCACAGCTGGCTGGAAGCACTCTCATACCTGGTGATAATTTGGTAACATTTTTGGAAGCAAAATGTAACGAGGATGGCAATTTCCCCATAAATACATTTTGTATAGAAATATTAAAATGTACAGAATCTGTTGTACTCTGCAGGTGGGTTTTTGTGTTTTGACCTCATCATCAATATTCACTACATCTGTTTTTGAATATCTGATACTAAAATAAACATTATAGAGAGTAAGGCAAGAGGTACACTATTTTTGTTGGTCAAGTAGGTGTTTTGATTTGATGTATACATACTTCCTTACAGTCCTCTCCAGATTGTACCTTAGAATACTTCATATTTTTTGTGTGTGCATGCAACAAAGAGGGAGAGGAAGGAGGAATAATTATATATTTTGTGTGTGTATGCAAAACAGAGAGAGAGAAAGGAGGAGTGGAGAGAGAGAGAGAGAGAGAGAGAGAGAGAGAGAGAGAGAGAGAGAGAGGGAGAGATTAAATAAATATAGGGGAACAATGGGAATTAGTCCTTGAAGGTGGACCACCTGAGAAACTTGAATGCAGCCAGTCTTGGCCGTGTGCCTGGGAGGTAGACTCAGGAGAACCAGGAATTCAAGGATATCCTTGGCTACATAGCTAGTCTGAGGCCATCCTGAGTTACATGAGACCCTGTCTTAAGAAATAACAACAGCAACAGTAACAGTGAATGGAAAGAAAGGAGGAAAAGGGATGCAGAGGAGGAAGAGGAAGAGGAGGAGGAGGAGGAAGATAGAAATAGCAAATGCAGCATAAATACAGGAAGATAATTTGTTTGCAACTTACTGAAGTCATGATATTCATATTTAAAGAGCTAAAAATGTACATTCAAAGATCTGCAGAAAGACTTGTGAAAGAATTTTTCTCATAAGTAATTATGAAGTAATAGAGTGAAAGCATGACACGGGCGATGATATTTCATTACAAGAACCAAGTGACTCGTGAAGACAGCAATTGGCTACATAAATCTCATTTTATTCACTTTGCAATTCATCAAACAGCAAAGACTTCATAGTGGCCATTGCTAACTTGGACAACTCAAGCATTCTTAAATTGTGGTAAGATTTCAATTAAAAGTTATTACTGGGACAGATGTGAGAAGCAAAATCATTTCTTTCTCTAGTACCACACATTTTCCACCCGGCCTTAAGAGCTACAGAATATGAGCAGTTTGATCTATAACACAGAGCATATTGAAAGGACATTCTGTATTATTGAAGTACAGTCTAGGTATAATTTATGCATCTTTCTAGTCAGTTTACAAATGCACAATAACACTTCAGTCAGGCTGCCATGAATACAGCAGAATGATTGAGAAACAACAGTTGACTAGGAGATGCAGAACAGGAAAGGAGCATACTTTTCTAGTTCATGCCCCTAATAATAACAGCTTGTTTACAGACTTAGGTTAGCAAGCTTAGCCTTTGGAAAGAAACTAAACTCAGCGGTACCGATTTAAAGTAAACAATTGTTGAATCACATATCCACTTGTGCACAATGCAATACAGTCCACACTTCAGTAAAACTTCAAAACTAAGTCCACAGTTGTAAACCTGAAATGTCTGGCTATAAGGTAATAAAGTTGTCTTATTAAATCTTACCCTCGGGAGTCCTGGCTGAGCAGAGTGAGTGGCACGGATTGTTTCCTCTGCTGTCACTCACTCATTCACTTGCTCTTGCTGGCTATAAACCCATCTTTGCCTTTCAACAGCCAATCACTGCCATGGCCAAAGTGATGTCAGAATGTGGATTCTCACCAGAAAACCCCAAACTTCAACACTTTTTCAAAACACAGGCTGTGTTGAATAAACATGAAACGTGGTTCTAGTGCCAAGAGGTTTGCATTGTGGAATTTAATTGAAGGTTTAGAAGAAGATGAATAGTTAGAGTTCTGAATATATATAATAATATACTGGATTTGAATTAAAATAAATAACAAAAGATTTAAGATTTAATTTAAAATTTCATAATCATACAAGTTTCTACTATGTTGAAAGAAAGGAGCACTGACTGCCATCATACAATGCTGCCTGTATAATTAAAAGAACTAGAAAATTAAAAAAAAAGAGTTAATGCACAATAATATCAGTACTATTCCAATATTGATTATTTTATATTTCTTCCTGAAAAATGCTTCAGTGACCTCATAAATTAAAGCTTATTAAGTCAGTCAGACTTTATAAGATTTATTTGCTAAAGCACAATGCTGAGTTTAAAAGTTAGAACTTTTGAGGTTCATATCAAGAAGCAGATTTAATTTTTCATAAAATAAACTTCTTTAGGTCATCTGTTTTTGTAGCCCCCTCCCTGTTGTGCAAATGAAGTCACCTTGCCTTACTTTCTGGGCTTCTTTCTATTCACTTTTATATTTACTTTATCCTAGGAGTGGAGAAAAGTTACTAGCATTGCAGGAAGTAATCCATTGTTACTGAAATGATTAATGAAAAAAATCCACAATACACAGATTGAGAGACTGAAGGGTTTTTTTGTTTTGTTTTGTTTCGTTTTTTTAATTTACAAAGGGAAATCTGGTTTAGTATTTTACATATTTTTCCTCCTCCAGTCATTTTATTATTCTTCTAGTTGGGAAGTGTACTTCATAGAAATTAATAAATACCCTTGTTAGTTAGGTGCCATTACCCTGTTAAATTCTTTAGATGCACCAAAATTGTTTGTAAAACAGAGTCATAAAAAAGAACTTGAACAGGTTCCTTCAACTCTGTTCAACCCCATAAGTTTGGTTCAGTTTACCAACGTTTCAGTTATTGAGTTTCAACTGAGCTGAGCTATTTTGTAGGACATGTGGAACTAAATAAGAAAAATCTGGCACTTGCCTTTAAAATATTCAGTTGTATAGGGAGAAAAAGATAGGTAGAGGGCACAGAAACTAAAATGTCTACATGGTTCAGAGGTGCTGTGGAAGGAACGAGGTTTAATTCTGACCATCTAGCAGCGACGTGGGGCTCTATACGAGAGCCGAGAGCCGGAACTTGCTAGATTATTATAAGGGAAGAGGTACTCCAGAAGGAAAAGGGGCAGGGAGGTGGCTCAGTGGCTAAGAGCACTTGTTTTGTCAGCATGAGGACCTGATTTGAATTCCCAACATCCATGTAAAAAGCTGGACAAGGCCTTGTGTGCCTATAACCCCAGTATTGGGGTGCAGACAGGCAGATACCGGGAGCTCATCGGCCATTTAGCCTAGTCAAAACAGCGAGCTTCTGCTGGAGTGGGAGACCCTGTCTCAAGGCAATTTGGCAGAAGCACTAGAGGAAGACAGCTGACGTCCTGCTCTGGCCTCTGCACGCACATGTAGGGTATGCATACAAACATACATGCGTGCATCACACACATAACACATAAGGGGGGGGGGCAAAAGTAAAGGGAAAGGGAACTGTTGTTGGGAATGGATTCAGAGACTATGAACAGGTATGAAACCATGTAACACCAGCACTGCATTTGTGCTTCAGGCACCTCTGATGCTTGGTGTAAGTTTCCCTCCCTTACAGCATTTCATAAGATTATTGCCATGATACAGTCGATGTAAGTGAGGCACAGTGATACAGTCCTTCAGATAGCCAGGTGGTGAGTGTGGCAACGCAGGCATCAAAGTGAGATCTATGTCATTCTAGACCTTGCACTTTTAGAAAATGTATATATGTATGTGTGTGTTCATGTGCGTGCAAGTGCATATGTGTACCTTTGTGCACATGCGTGTGAAGAGCAAAAGACAACCTCATGTGTCATTCCTCATGTGCCATCTACCTTATTTTTTGTGACAGGATTTCTCACTGGCTTACAACTTGCCAAGTAGGCTAGCCTGCCTGGCCAGCCCACCCCAGGGATACCCCTGTCACCATCTCCCCAGTACTAAGATTATAAGCACACATCACCATGTCCAGCTTTTTAATGTGAGTTCTGGGGGTTAAACTCAAGTCCTTACAAGGTAAGCACTCTACCAGACAAACTACTTCCCTAGCTCTAGAGCTCATTTACAATCACTACATATGCAAACACACAGACAACTTTAATAGTTCATTAGACTGAGATGTAGTAAGTTGAAGTAAGGTAAATGAGACTGGTCAGAGGCAAGTCAGAGGGTGTGGCAGCTGTATGCTGCTGGTAGGAACACGGAGTCAATGTGGAAGCTGGGAACGCCAGCAGATAAAAAGAAAAATAACATCTTCATGTTTGGGGTTTGTAAAAGGCTTTTGATAAGGCAGAGGTGGAGGAAACCAAGATTATTACAGGAGAGGAGGGGGCATTAAAGAGGCTGCTGCTGTGGTCCAGGAAAGCAGTGATAAAGGTCTCAACACAGAAGATGGCAGCAGACAGGGAGAGAAGGGAATAATGGCACTGTATAGATAAAATAAGAACTTAGCAGAGGTATGAGAGGGAGAGAAGCCTTGCAAACTTGGAGATTCCTGGCTCAGACAGTTTTGTGGGTGGTGGAGCCTTGCCTTACACAATGCCTGAGAGTGTATCCATGGGTCATGGTTACTCAGCAGGCATTTGCTGCAATCATAAATAATAGAATGAAAGAGGCAGAGACTGAGAATCAAGTCTCGAGTGTTGTTCTTTTGTAAAATTTTTACTTATGCCGGGTGCTAGCATCTTTCCTGGGTGGGTCCAGCCTCATTCACCCTCCCAGCTCCCCTCCTAGCCTGGGTACTGGTCCGTTTCTTGTCTTGGAACCACCGACTCCTGGACTGACCTCTAGGCCCAGAATCCCCACTGCTTCCTGATCCTTTGGATCCAGACCAACTCAATCCCTCCCTGCAGTCCCCAGGAGCCATCTGTGCCTGGTGCTGCCCTCATTTCCCTTCGCTTCCCTGGGCCGCACAGCCCCTGGGGTCCTGGTGCCAGCACTTTTCCTGAGTAAGTCCAGGTGCCCACTGCACCTTCACTCCCCTGGCCTCATTCACCCTCCCAGGTCCCCCACCCTGTCTCTCTCCTCCTAGCCTGGGTACTGGCCCATTTCTTGTCTTGGCCACCCAGACACTGGGGCTGACCTCTCCACCCAGAGCCACCGCTGCTTCCTGATCCTTTGTATCCAGATCAACCTAGTTCCTCCCAGTAGTCCCCAGGAGCCCTCTGGGTCTGGCCTCCTCCCCACCTATCTTTGCTTCCCAAGGCAGCTCAGCCACTAGTTTCCTGAGACCAGCATCTTTCCTGGGAACCTGCTCTCAGGCCAGCCCAGCCACCAAATTCCTGAGGGCAACATCTTTCCTGGAGGGATCCAGACCTTAGGAGAAAGCCTGAGAGCATCTGATCCTCATCTGACTTGAGCCTTCATGGGAACTCCTGAAGATGAAAGCAATCTGGCCACTCTAATATAAAATCAAAAGAGAGAACCTGAAGCCTAGACCAACCAGCTTTTCATGTGCAACAAGTAAACCACAAAGGCACATAAAGTTTACAAAAAGAAGCCGACCTAAACTCAACAAAGGAAGGCTCAAGTCTCACACAAGAATCAGAAACTACAAAAGAAATTCACATGTGAAAGTTACAGAGAAAAAATAATAACATGAAAAACCAAAATAATATATCCCCACCAAGTACCAATAGTCCTCTAGGGGAGTACAGTGAGAACTGCCTAGAGATAACACAGGACATGGAACTCAACAGAACAGTTATAAACATGATAAAAGAATTGAGTGAATTTAAAGAACACACAAAGAAAGAAATCAAAGAACTGAAGGAAGATAGGGATAAACTTCTGAATGAATTAAGAAAAGAGTTAGAAATATTGAAGAATACTCAGGCTGAAATGAAGAAGGAAGTGAAACACTCAGTAAACCAATTAGAAACAACAGGAGAAAGCCTCACCAATAGGATGAATGAAATGGAAAACAGTATCAAGACAGGAAGATAAAGTGGACTAACTAGACCACTCAAGCAAAGATTGTGAAAAATTTAAGAAAACACAAGAGTGGAATATGCAAGAATTGTATGACACCATAAAAAAACAAAACTTACAAATCATAGGCATATAGGAAGGAGAAGAATCTCAAGATAATTGTATGGACCGGATCTTCAACAGAATCATGGAAGAAAATTTCACAAAATTAAAGAAAGACATGCCCATACAAATACAAGAAACATATAGAACACCAAGTAGACAGGACCAGAAAAGAAACTCTCCATGGCACATCATGGTAAAAACGCTACATGTACAAAACAAAGAGACAATTCTGAAAGCTGAAAAAGAGAAAAAAAAAAGTCACATATAAAGGAAAACCCATTAGGATTACAGCTGACTTTTCAGTGCAAACTATGAAAGCCAGAAGAGCCTGGACCAAAGTAT